ATCCTCAGAACTGGGCAGTGGTTTCTGTCTCTTGGTGGGGTAACTGAGTGTGGCCTTGAGAAGTTGGCTTGAAGGCCTCTTTGCATGGAGCATCTCCTCCTGTCTGCCCCTTCCTGCCTGGCTGTCAGGGGACCCCTGGCTCGTGCCTCTGTTTCTGGAATTCCTGTGGGTTCTTTCCCTGCTCGCTTCAGCCTCGGCCGGTGAGGTTGAGCTCCTGTGCACTGCCTCAAGGTGATCTCTCACTTTCTCACTCTTGAGAAGAAGTATGACCAGCTGACAGTAAAATTGCTTGGTGCTGATGAGCCCTTGGCTTTGTTACTGTGGTAAAACATACATCATTTGACAGCTGCTTGTGCATGGAAAAAAAACATAGATGATTAACGGTTTCCTATCTTTTCTTGCTACTGATCTTCTTTGCTTATGACAGATGAGACTTAGATGTCTTTTTCTAAGAGACAGAGAGAGAAAAGGAGAATATTTAAAGTTGTTCTCACCTAAGTCTTTTATGTTATCCTAAGGACCTTATTTGTAGTAGAGGTTTTTGTCTGAATTTCAGCTCTCCTAAAATGATGCGATCTGTCATTCAGCTTTAAAAGGGAATGTGAATTCTTCCCTGGCTGGATGATTTTTTTTTTTTTTTTTTTTTTTTTTTTGCCAAAGGGTATAACGCTAATTTTACTTATTCAGAAATTAAAATAGCAAACAGTTTATATGAGGTGTTGATAATTACCTATATTACTGTAATGCTGTGACAGATGTTGGCAAAAAGAGGCAGAAAATGCCTACAGCTGTGCACTCCATGACATCCAGTTTATACTCAGACAGAAGGCTAACAGATGTTCTGAACTGTCACTTTGCCTAAATGTTTTTAAAGTCTAAGGACCTGCTTTATAATTCACTAGGGCCTCATTTGGTTTCACAGAGGTTCTCAGAATTCCCATCTGTGACAATTAATGTCGAAGACTTTTATAAATCAACCCCTGTCCTTATTAGCCCTCTGCAAATAGATATTGTGTATCTGTATACTCCTGAGGCTTCTATTTTTTGTGACCTAGTTATTAATTTATATTACTTGTATATAGCATAACTCGTGTTTTGAGAAGAAACAGATTTGGGTGACATGAATACAGCTTGAGCACCAGAGTGAAAAGATTGCTGCTATAATTTAGAGTGACCTCAGAATACCTATGTTAAAATATTTTTTCTTTTCTTTATGAATATTATGGTCATTTCTAAGGTGGCTGTAAAATGCTAGCAACTTCAAGCTACCTGTTTTCCCAAAGTAGAATATAAATCTTGGTGGTATCAAAATAGAGAACTTAAACAAGAATGTTCAGCTGCCAGAGATATTCCTATTCCTAGAGAATTTTTTTGCTCAGATATAGTTAAAACATTTAAAAAACAAATAAATATTCATATGTTAAATTATGCTCTTTAAATTAAAAATAAAGATCATATAAAAGTGATATCTAGGTAACATATGCATGTAGAAAAACATTTTAAATGGTCATCTTCAAGCTCCTCCCAAATTTGCCAGCATACCTTCAGATAGGTAAAAAATGTCTCCAGAGTAAAGCAACTTAATACTTTATTGATAGTTGCCATTTCTTTTTAAAAGCTGAATTCCTGTTGTACAGTATTTTAATAGTTTAAATATTGTGCTAACATAATCAGTGTTAGTCTTCTGCTCCCCAATCCTGTATAGAAGCAGAACTCCAAATTGTACATCTTTCTGGGTTTGTTTCTAAATTACTCCCCACACTTAATTACGAGGATGAGAGGGATGCCTTATTCCTCTTTGTTATAGGCTAAGCTCTCAGTAATCCCAAACAAAAGAGCCAGTTCTGGAAGATATAGGATTTGCTAGCAGGATTATGGTCTCATAGATAATGATGTGCAGTCAGCAGAAGCGAAGCTTTATTTTAATTCAAATAAGCTAGTAAACAAACCACTGACAAGTCTGCTGGTGAGAGTAACTGGCTTCTGTTGCCACATTGGCAGCTAAATTATAGAAAATCTATTATACCCTGTTCACCATATGTTTAATTTAATACAGATACAAATTAAACTATCCACAGTGCCTATTAAAATGACAATACATATTTTTTAAATATATGAATGTTTTAAGATACATTCCCCTGACCTTAAGAAGGGCAGCGCTGATTTGGGAGACTACAGCAAAACACGTCAACAGATTCTCTTCAACAACAACAGTGATTTGGAAAAACACAGAATATTAATAGTACAGTTTTGTAACAGATAATGAGGTTAATTGGGGTGTTTTACCTTCTAAGCATCTGTTCTTACACACTTCACTCCCCCTAAGTTCCTGGACCTTGCATTTGATAGAAGTGGTTGATATCTAATCCTCTGTATACTTTTTAATTCAGTGCCAGCTGCAGTATGAGGGTTTTGCCCTTTTCCTGCTGCAAATAACTATTCCTCATTTCTGCATATTCTCATTTATTTATGTGCTTTCAAATAGCCTGGATTTCTTGACCTGTCAGGAACCTTGGAATTGCTACTCTGTAGTACTGTGAAAGGTTTCAAATTATGCGGAGGGATTCCTGCCTAGGGCCTGTGTTGTTCAGAGGAAGAAGTGTTGAGTATCATTTGTTGTGGCCTTTTATGGACCTTGATTGGCTTGAGTTCCATAGTGGTTACAGGGAAAGCAGGTATTGGAGAAAAATTAGAATAACAGCAGGCAAATATTGTGAGAGTCTAAGTAAGTGTGGGTATTTCCAAAGAAACTGAATTTCCTCATAAACTCAATAAGTCACTGTAAGTTATGGAGATCAGCAGATGTTACTGTTGTGAGGTGGTGATGGGCTACTTGAAACTTTATTGAAACCACAGAGAAAGAAATTAACTTCCCCAAATTCACCCCTTCTATCTTAAATGAATGATGATGTAAAAAAGTTCCAGTCAAATTACTGCAAGTGAAGAGCTCTCTGGACTCCCTGGGGTCCTCCTGCCAAGATTGGAGCTCTCCCTTCCAGCTCCAGTCTGCTCACAGCAGCAATAGGGATGCAATGAAAATGTAAGTTTTGTGAAATTGCTTGCAGGTTGTGAATTGTCACTTTACTCCACAGTAACATAGTCAAAATTCAGCATTCCAAATTATGTTTCCCACAATATCTGAGATGTAAAGAGCACAAGCAAATGCTGTGTGAACATGTGGAAGTATGTGTGAAGGGCGTTCATGGCTCCTATAAATGTGCAGCATTATATACCAGGTGCCAAACTGTGCATTATCATATGTACAATGTACAGCATGTGCATGGGCGTGAGATGTGCAGTGTAAAGTGTGTATCTACTGTATGCTCATTGTATGTTTATTTTAATTTCATTTACCAAAACACTTTCAGAATCAATATATATTTGTAATGTAGACATAACATACACAGAAATTTAGGAGTTATTGCAAACAAGTGTTTGCAATTGAATTTGATATTCATTTTTAGTATGTAAAAAAATGTCTGGTTCCAAAGAAAATTGACATCTAAGGAGCTGAATGTATAAAACTATCAAGTCCAAGAGAGATATTTTGACAAAATACAGAATATTACTGGTGCTATTCTTTCTGCTCTTCTTCCCAAGACAAATTTATCTTATACCAAGTGGTCATCTTTCACTAAAGGAATACTTAGCACCACAGATAACCATAGCAGAATTGTTGAGATAATAAATGAGTAGGCCCTCTCATAGCAACCGTGAAAAAAAATAAAAAAAGAAAAAGAAAAAAGAAAAGCTAAACAGAAGAAAACTGCAATTTTAGGAGGCGCATATAAAGTTCTTCCGTAGATTTCCATGCAGCAAAAGCCCTGCCTGCCCTGCAAACCTGCTGCTCCTCGAGAGCCTCTTCTGTGCTACCATTTCTTTGCTTTTGGGTAAATGGATTTTCTCCCTTCATGTCCCTGAGACCTCGGGGCAGCAGCCCAAAAACCCGCTGCCGGTGCGTCCCGAGCGTCCCGCTGAGGCTGCGGCGCTGCGGGCGCGCCCAGCCTTCCCGGGGGCGCATCTCCGGAGCACGCACGGGCACCCGCGGCTTTTTGGTTAAAAAAGCGTGAACGTTGCTAAAGTGAAACGAGGGGCTGAGAACTGCTGGAAATCGATCAGGAAGCCCCTTCTCCCAGGAAAGGAGTCCCGGAGGACACGCGGGGCGGCGGCGGCCGAGCGAGCGCTGCTCGGGGGCGCGGGGGATCCGCGCTCCACACCCGCGTGGGCTCTGCCGCGGGGCTCTGCCCCCCGGGCAGCCGCCGGTATTCAACTTTAACCCTCTTGTCAGCGAGGCAGGATGCGAAAGAAAGGCTTGTCCCGTGCGGTGTGAACCTCCGCTCCTCCGGGGAAGATGAGCCCGGGAGCCCCGGCGCGGGGAGCGCGGGCCGAGCGCGGCGGAGCCAGGCGCAGGCTGGGGCTGAGCAGTGGCAGAGCCACTGCGGTCACGGCAGGGGCAGAAATATTGGCAGGGGCGAGAAATACCAGCAGAGCCTATCTTCCCACTCTGCTTTGAAACAGCTTCAGTGCTTTGTCCTGGGTTGGAACTCCAAAATTCGGATTTTTTTTTTTTTTTTTTTATTTGACATCCCAAGGAAAATGCATGATTTTTTTTTTTTTTTTTTTTTTTCTGGACACAGTGTTGGGTGAGGCACTCAGCCCCTCTACAGGAGTGTCTGGCAAACACCTTACTGGTCTGTTGGAATGTGCAACCTAGAGATATATCTATCTATAGCAAATTTGGAGTAATCCGTTATTTTATCTATGTACCTGGATGCAGGTGGTCTTGATTTGGATGTTTTCTTTTTGTTGGGGGTTATTTCCCCAAGCCTAAAATGAATTGCGAAAGTCAAAATCCAGCACGTTCATTTTCCCACCCCGTGGGATCAGTCTCGGCATAGAGACTAAAGGGTCCCAATGTCCCTATGGAAGCCCAGCCCTTCTCAGACCAAGGGCGAAAAATGCATGTTGGTATGAGAATTTCTCTCAGAGCCCTTCCAATATGCGGTTCACTTTTTTTACTGTTGTTTGTTTGTTTTTATTTCCCTTCAGAAATTCTTAGAAATTGCTGCAGAGCGACATAAAGTTGTAGCTACCTGGTACACACACGGGTGATTTCGTTTCTGGTTATCTGCAAAATGAGCTTTAAGCCAATTTCGTGCTTCAGGCTAAAGAGAGGGATTCGTATTTCCCTCCTAGATGCGTGGCATTCCTGGAACCTCTTTGTCAGCTTGCCGTAGGATGATGCTGTAATTTGCTTGGAAACTCTCTCCAAAATTTGTAAACAGCGGTTAAGAACAACGTGAGATTTCTAAGCCATCGGGTTGTTCTCTCTGAAAAGGAAAAAAAAAATCATCTTTCATTGAAAAGTCAGTATTAAACTATTCAGAGCCTGATTCCCGTTTATCCCGAAGAACCGCCGTAGTTTCAAAATATGCATTTCCTACTAATCTCTTTCCTTCCCTGCTCTAAGAAATAAAATAGTCCTTCAGGAGAAGCGGTACTTTCTTGGAGAATCCTAGAAAAGTTCTTGGACGATTTCCTGAACTTTGACACGCTTGACTCTTTTATGCCACTTTTCCACCCCCCGCCCTCTCCTGAACATGTAAAGGCTACTGCAAAATGACGGGAGGTTGCCTGAACTTTGCGGCTGGAGATGAGCTCTGCCACCCTCCGTACGAGTCCCCTCTTGGCGTTAAGCCTGGCGAGCAGAGCTCCCCGGCCCCGGCAGCGCCGCCCTGCGCGGAGCCGTGCGGAGCTGGCGGGGCCGCGCCTGCCCCGGAGAGGCTCCCGCACCCTCCCCGCTCCGGCGGAGCGAGCTGGGGAGAAGATGTTTATCCTGAGATGCAAAATGGGTTGTTGAAAAACAAGCCATGTGCAAATAGTTTAATTTTCCGTTTTGATGCTTATCTTTGTCTCCCGAATTTCATCGGAGAGGCTTTAATTGGCGTGTGGGTAATAGTTCCTAAATAATCCCTTATTAGATGACTTCAGACGAGTTGCGAACCAATAACATCTTAGTCCCAAAAGTGAAAGTAGAATTTGAAGGCTCAGGTCAGTTTTTGTCAAAGGGCTCATTTGAACATCTTTTAGTTTGCTGAAAAAGCTAATTAAAGAACGTTTGAAGGTTAAAGTCATTATTCCGTGCTGTTGTCGTGCTACAAGTGAGCCGAGTTTTGTGAAAACACAAAGGGCAGAAGTCACAGAGGTGGATTACTGTCAGTCCAGGCTACAGAGGCACAGAGAACTGTGGCATTAATTCCTATAGAAAGGTAGACAAACACAGTCACTGACTAACAACTTTCCCGCAGAGCCCTATTGTCTAAGCACTTTCTACTGCTTTGGGGCTCTCTTCGAGTTGCTACAGTCGTAACCAGATCCCAAACTAGGTAACGGGGCGACTTTCGGGCGCAGAATTCTTGTCCTGTGAAACAATTTCCACGACAAAAATCGCTGTGGGTCTTGGCGGCTCCCTCTAACATTTATTTCCCCCTTCAGCGGCGCTAATTTATTCATTACTTGGCAGAAAGTTAGCAGCGCGGCAGAACTCTGCAGGAGCCCGCAGCACCCTCGGCGCCCGCCGCCGCCCGGCTGCCGCCGCCCGCTGCGCTCCCCGCGGGGCACGGCCCCGGCCCCGCTCGTGGGGCGGCTCCGCGGCCGCTCAGCGACTCTGCGCAAGAGCCGCGCAAGAGCCGCGCTGCGCGGGAGCTGCGCGCCGCGGAGGCTGCTGGAGCGCAGGGACAGGACGGGCAGGAAAATGCCGTGGGCTAATCCCGGGGGCTGTCAGCAGCAGTTTGCGCCTTTGTGTGTGCGTGCGCGTGGATTGCAAAGCCGGGCACACAAAGATAGGCGCGCACAGGCACGGCCGCGGCTGCTCAGCCTCGCCTCCCCAGCGCCCGCTGCCTTCGCGCTGAGCCGCTTCGCCCCACTCGCTCTCAAAGTCTAGATTTTTAGGTCTGGCCGCGACTGTAGATCTCCCCAAATTCAAAGAAACAGATGTTTGGGCTGATTATGGATGGGGGGAGGGGAGGAGGGATCCCTGCAGCTGCAACTCAAAGAAATATATTGATAAAATATTTCAGTGGTAATAAATACGCAGAGATCAGCTCGACCTTGCGAGGTCTTTATTTTAATTTTTTTTTCCCATATACAAAAATCTTTATCAAACCTCTATTCTATGGCTTCAATAAACAGAACCCATTACCTCACGGCAGCTTTTGTTGGCCTGTATACAAGCGAGAACAAAATGGTTATTCAGGAGAACGCTTTCGATTTTTATTGTGTGTAGTATGCACAAAGAGCAGTGTTATTGTATTAAAAAGAACCATCTGTAGCAGAAACAATGGCATCAAATTATCTTTGAATACCCACTGCAAAAATATAAAGCTTTTTTATTATTCTTCTGCTGTACGGTGGGGGACAGAGAAGTGACTTTTTTGTTGTTGTGGGTGCATTCTTATAACACACACACAAAATCAGCCATTGGGATTTTTTTTTTTTTAAGCCATAAACGATTTTTTCCCCTCTTGTTCCAGGGACTGCAGTTAAGAGCTAGGGCTAGGACTTGGAGGATGTGTAGGCAAACGGAAAGAGAGCCGGGGGAAGAAAAACCGAAATGGATTCATTCTCTGTCCTGGATGGAGGAGGAGAGGAGAAGAGAAGAGAAGGGGACGTGCGATCTTCCTTCAACTGCCTCTGTCCGGTGAAAAGTGCTCAGACCCCCGGGGCTGCGCCGGACTCGGGAGTCCGCGCGGACTTTCGCGTTGAGCTGCCAATCAAACCGCTCACAGCCACCACCCTGCTCTGGCACCGACACGTAAGTAGCTGCAGCACAACTTTGACATTCACAGTTTTTTCCCCCTCCTCCCCCGTGACCTTTAAAACGATCTGGAAATGTAGCTCCCACCTACGACCCGCCGCTCTGAGCTCCACCGCGTTAAGCTCGGGGACTCGCGTACGGGTTTGGGCTCGGCTGAAATTGCGCGGCCGCGCATCGCGAACGGAGCGCTGGGCAGAATCCCAGTCGGCGGGCTGCCTCTGCGCTGTCTGCTCCTCTCCGAGGAGCTCGCGGCCCGCGGGGAGCGCTTGGGCTGAGCAGAGCCGGGACCTTCCCCCGCCGCCCCGGGGCGTTCCGGACGGGGCCGCTCCTTTGGCGCTGCCCCGCGGAGAGGCGCGCAGCCCCCGGCCGCGCAGCGCAGCGGGCGGCAGCGCGCCGCCACCGCGCCTCTCCCGGAGCCGCTCTCCGGGCTCTCCGGGCGCCCCGCGGGCCGGGCGCCGGGCGGGCCGGGCGCTCCGCGGCAGCGGCCGGGGCGGTGCGCGGGGCGCGGAGCGGCCGCGGGGCGGGCGGGGATCCCCGGGCGCGCCGCTCTCTGCCGCCCCCTGTGGGCGCTGCGCGGCCGCTCCTCCCGCGGCGCGCCCGGCCCAATCCCGGCCCAGTCCCGGGAAAGGGGGGCCGGCCCCGCGGAGCTCCCGCACGCCCAGAGCGGGGCTGCACCGCGGGAGAGGCGGCGCAGCGCCGGCCCGGGCTCCGCACCCGGACAAGTCGATAGTAAATCATCAATACCTTCAACTGCCCGCCGCTGCCTTCTGATGCGCTCGGGGCTGGGAAAGGCCCGAATTTGACATATTGGCTCATTATAATACCATTTAAAGGGAAACTCTTTTTAGTTACAGTTAGCAAAGTTGAGGTTGTATTTCCCCCTCTTCATCCCCCCCCCCCCCTTTTTTTTTTTTTTTTTCTTGGTAAGAATTTGGTAGATAAAGGTTAATCTTGGGCTGAATGATAGAGCTGTGATTGACAAGAGAAAAGGTGTTGAGGGCAGGTCGAGCTGTCTTATTTACAGCCCACTGCTTGCTATAGAGCCTTTGTTAGGACTGGAAAGCTAATTTAGTGCTGATCAAAAGCACCACAGAGTTAAAGGACTGGTAATGACTGCTAATTTCATTTCAGCCTCATACATCCCCAACTGCTGTAATTAAAGACGTGCTATTTAAATACAGGTGAAGGGGTTTTGTATTAGGGGGAAAGTGGGTAGCCGGTTACAATTTTATTTATGGTTAATATGGTAAAAGTCCAACATTCGATTTATTAATTTAGCGATTTGCTTTTTTGCACTCTTCTGCCCCTGCAGAGCAGGGCTGGACGGCAGGGTCGGCCGTGCAGGGGCAGGGTGAGGACAGCGCTCCGCAAGCGATGGATGCGAGACCCCAGCTAGCGTGGGGTTATCTTATTTTTAATTATTCCCATCAAACGGCAGTCAGAAAACATCGGGAGCTCAAGGGAGAGGGGAGATGGAGGGCCACGTGTCAGCTTTTAAGTGCCTCTGCGGAAGCTCGGGTCCTCATATTATTATTATTTTTAATTAAATTATTTTAGCACTCCACGGCTGGTTCGCTGGCTCTGAGACGATGTAATTTCACAACCGATATAACAGTTTCTTTCTGGGAAACATCAAAGGATGAAAGCTCTACATTTCCGTAGTTGGTTAAAATTGACAAAAAAAAAAAAAAAAAAAAAAAAAAAAAAAAAAAGGAAAAAAAAAAAAAAAAAAAAAAAAAAAAAAAAAAGGAGGGAAAAAAAAATAAAGAAAAAGAATTTAGCCTTTAATCTCTTTTTATCCACGACGACTAAAGATCCGTACTCGACCCCGCTCGGCTCCGGGCTCCCCGGGCTCCCCCCGGGCTCCCCGGGCTCCCCCCGCTCCCGCGGCCGCTCCGCGCGGGGGGCGGCGCCCCCTGTCGGCCGCGCCGGGGGCGCCCGCGGGGACTCCGCGGGACGGGCGCGCCCGCGGGCGCAGCGGCGGCACCGGCACGGCGGGACCCACGGCGGGACCCACGGCGGGACCCACGGCGGGACCCACGGCGGGACCCACGGCAGCGCCCACGGCAGCGCCGGGCAGGCGAGGAGCCAGCGCCTGGAAGCGGCTCGGAGTCGCTGCGGGGGTTAAAGTGAGCGCGGTGCGGCAGGGACAGGCAGGGTGAGCAGAGCCCAGCACAGGAACTACGGGCAGGAAAGCCATCTCCAGCTTGCGCCGTTTGCTCTCCGGAGATATGAACGTGGGCGAAAAATAAGTGAAGTGGCACCGACTTTTTATTCTAAGCAGAGCTTTCCATAAGCCTGGGTCTTCCAGAAATGTTGATACGTGATGCTCTCCCACAGCTAGGCAGAGCAGGGGAGCTGCTAAGGGACCGCACCGCCCCGGCGGGCGGCGGGACATCCCCGCACACCAACTTCTCTATTGGCAGCCTTAGGCACAAAAAGTCAGGATTAATTTTTCATCGTTCCCAACTTCGGTGTTCCAGTGCTGTCAGCAAATGCCAGCCTCTCAGATGCTCGTGCTTGTGTTTTCCTCCCAAGGTGTCTTAAATAAGTCAGTGTTGACAGGTGTTGCTTGTAAGCAGCGTTGAACAGTTCCTTTTCATTAAGGGAACATTTTCTCAAATGGCATATGTTTAAACCCGAAAAAAAAAAAAAACCAAAATCCCCAAAAAAAAAAAAAAAAAAAAAAAAAAAAAAAGCAGCAAAATAAACACCCCCTCCCCAACTCCTGGAAAAGGAAGAAGCGTTAGCTTAAGTGAATGCCTGGAGTGCGATTTTATTTCCTCACTGTGGAGATGACAGATTTAAAAGAAACCTGGTGAAATAAAACGATTAGCCAAAATATGTGACGTGCTGCATTGCCACCAACTTTTTAGATGAATTCTCTACTTATTTTATAGCATGCACGTAGCTCAGTGTAGGGCATTTAACAGTGGTATTTGCTAGATGCGGTAATACCCAGCACGGTTTATGCATCTTGCGTGCAAAGAGGAAGACTAATGGAAACCAAATTATTTGTGTTAAATTGGGGTTATTTTGTATCTCCTGTTGACAGCCTGGATGAAAGTCATAACGCCGCAGTTTTTCTATTAAATGAACCCCATGGCTGTTGGCCTCACAATAAACTTTTCACTTTAGAAATTATATTCTGCTAGGTTTTTATGAAATATTATTGTTTGTCGCGCTGAGCATACTTTCTCCATTCTTCCAGTTTGATCTCCGCTCGAGACTCCCTAATAAGGCGATTCTGTAGTAAAAGCACCCAAAATAAAGACATGGCATTTTCTATAAATAATAGCAAGAGCCCTGCACAGATTTCCTGCACAACGGAATTCCCAGATTTCCTTTACTGTTTCCTTAGTTAGCATGCGTTCGGTATATATAACTCTGAAATTAAACAAAAATATACATCTGTATAGATCTGTCAAGCCAGTTATAAACAGAGGTATTATATGTCAATTACCACAGGAAACGGAAAAAATACAGAGCGCTTGTACACACGGTTTAACGTCAGGAGGCACTTTGCAAAAATTTAGTGACTCCTGCCGAAAGGTGAATGATTAACCCGGTTCCAGGAGAGGGGTTGTTAGTGCTCCTCTCAGAAACAGCAGTTGTGAGGGGGCTGTAAAGGGGTCGTAAACTGCCCCCTCCCTAGAGCAGAAGTTGGCACATAAAATCAAGGGTCCCGAGTGATCAGTTTCCCCAAAATGCGGTTTTCTTGGGCTCGGTTCGGAACTCAGTTGCTGGGTTTTATTCTGCGGACGTTACTCAAGGGAGCAAACGCTGTAAATCTGGGATCGGGTCCCAGGCTTGGCAGACAGCTGGCAGCAAGGGGGGGTCAGCTCTGCTCTCAGCTGGCAGCAGTGGGGGGGAGTTAGATCTGTGTTCGGTCTCGTTCATCTCCACTTGGAAGAGAAGTGCATTTTTAGTTTATTTATGTCTTTTGGAAGGAGCTGTTTCTGGACGCCGGCATTTCCTACATCTCTCTGTTGAGCGGTGGAAGGGGAGACTTGAAGAAACAAACCAGAAAAACAGCCTCAAATACCAATTTCACACTTCACCTTTTCTTGCTTCCCCCTCAGCCTGTCCCTGGCACCTGCTGCCCAGAGCACCCGCAGCATCGCCCCTTCTGTCCCACCCCCTGGGCACGCCGTGGGCCTTTCTCCTCACATCCACCCGCTCCCCGCCGGGAAGGCTCCCTCGGGGACAGGCGGGGTGTTCGGAGGAGCCCCGTTGTCCAGCGATTTCCATGGGAAAAGGGCTGTGACACCCGCCGACAGCACCCCAAGCGCACGCAGCGCTGTGTGCCCCGTCCTCCTGCCCCGCGTGTGGCGCACACCGGCGGGGCCGCAGCCCCCGAGGGTGGCGGAGCGTCCCCCGGGCTCCGTCCGCCGCCCTGCAGCGGCCCGAGGTCCCCTCGCCTCGCTCCCTGCGCCCCGGCCTCCTCCGGCAAAGATCTTTCAGATCTTGGGATGGAGGACGGTGGATAGACACATGGGAATTGTTGTTGTTATTATTTATAGCACCATCTCTCTGCTCCGATTAAGCGCCGTCTAAATATGAATTCACTGTATAGACAGCTAGTCTATAATTTGAATTAAAATCCTCCCAACGAGCCCGTCGCTGGAGAATTCTGAAATCACAAGCCTAACTTGACACAATGAGCCCATGGTGTCAATAAACCATGGGCGAGATGGAGAGATTGTCACTCCAGACCATAACAGTTCTGAAAGTGTCATTACCGGCTGTCCTGTCAATGAGCTCCAAATTAAGGACTATGAGGAACAGCGAGATAAAAGTCACCGTCTTGGCTCCATTATGGGCGATCTTGTCAGTGATCTGAGAATCACTGGAAAGGGCTTTTTTTTTTTTTTTTNTTTTTTTTTTTTTTTTTTTTTTTTTTTTTTTTTTAATGCACTTTTCAAACCATGCCTCGGGATGCCAGGGTTTGAGGTGCGCTGAGAGAAGCAACCTTGAAGCACCCCAGGCTGTGCCTCAGGCGTTCCCATTGAAACTGCCACAGCTTCTTTGGGAAACGGTGTGAATTCAATGGAAGAGCCGGAATAATTCCATCAAAACTGTGCTGGGGCCAAAGAGGACTTCATTTGATTTGGGCGACACGTGTGATCCCATGAACAGACACTTTTTTGACCATTATTTTCTTAAGTCAACACAAAGATGGTGAAGGGGAAAGAGGGAAATAAAATAGAAGCCTCAACTTCAGGAAAAGACAATACATTTGAGATAGCCCCTTCCAGGCATTAAGAGTTTCAGAGAATGTCCCCAGTCTCTCTCTTACGAGCCTGAGAGAGTTAAGGGGACTTATTCAGGAATTGGAAACCTTCAATTCTGGATTTTTGTGCTTTTGTGGGTTTAAGCAAAGCAGTTAGCGTTCTTCAGGAGGGGTTTTGTGTTTAATATACATGAGTTCATTCAACTACAATGGGAAAAGAAAACTCATTTGTTCTTATAAAACTAGGAAGGAAAGATAACTTTAAATAGACTGCCAAAAAGGATCCCGCTCGAGGGGGTTGCCTTCCTGCTAAAGAGCCAACATTCAACTGTAATTTCACCCCGTTACGTTGTACAGTAATTTCTAAGTTTATCCTCGCCACTGATCTTGATTTTATGATTTATTTTAAAGAATACTTAAGAAAAATTACGGGCTTAACTTATGCTTTCCTTTGGGAAAGCAATCCCGGGCGTGTGATTTTAGATGCAGAGCAAAAATCGCGGACAGTTTGAGGAAGATGTTGGCTATTTATGAAGAGTCATGGAAGCCTGTTTGGACAATCGGCTTCTCCTTTTATTGAGAAGCCTTTTGAAAGCGACTTCGAGAGGTGGTGTGAGTGATTCGGCTTTTCTGCTGCTTATTGTGTACGTTAAATTCCCTCCAGGATCCGAGTTTTAATTTTTTTTTTTTTTTTAATTTTTCTTCTTGCAGCACTGGACAAAAACGGAGCAGCTTATTTTTATTTTTTATTTCTCCCCCTCTTTTNTTTTTTTTTTTTTTTTTTTTTTTTTTTTTTTTTTTTTTTTTTTTTAAACCTCTCGGCTATTTATTTTTGCCGCACCGGCTCACGCGTGCGGTGGTCGCCGGGAGGGGAGGTGGCCGTGGGGCCGCTCCGGGGGCACTGCGGGACCCCCGATGTGGGCGGCCCGGGGGAAGCCCCGCATCCCCCGCATCCTTCGCATCCCCGCATCCTCCGCATCCCCCGCATCCCCCGAGACCCGCATCCCCGCAGCCCCCGAGACCCGCAGGGCCCGGGCCGTGCGCTGCCCGCCCGGCCGCACGTGTGCTCGCCCCGCGCTTCCATTCGGGAGAACAGGGATGAAAGGAGAGGCCGGGAGCAGCTCGGGGCTCCCTCGGTATTCCCCGGCTTTCAAGGGTCCTTAGAGCCCTTGAATGAAATTATTGGGCGAAATGGGGTCTGGCGGGACCGGCCGCGGCTCGCCCCCTCCTTGGTTTGTACGTGTAATGCCACTTCTGAGAGCGACAATCGGGCTGCTTGCTGGACAGGGAGGGACAAAAAGGAGATTAAACCGTTTTAAATAATAATAAAAAACATCCCGAACGCAAGCAGAGTGGATTACACTTGCCGCGGCGCCCCGGCTCCCCCCAGGTTCCCCGAAGGTTCCCTCGGGCCTCGCAGGCGGAGCGGCCCCAGCTCGGCCCCCCAGACTGGCCGAGCTCCGGGAGCCCCGGAGCGGCCGCGGCTCTCCCCGGCTCGGGGAGATCCTGCCTTGGCCGGGGGCAGCCTGCACTTGCTCCAGCTCGGGACCCTGCTCGGGCTCCCCCGGCCCCTGCCCCTGTCCTGGGCCCGTACCCATTCCGAATGTGCCTTTTATTCCAGGGCATTTCAGATTATATCTCCCCAAATTTTCCTTGGGATACTACTGCAAACGCACCCTGTGATGACTGAAATTCCCCAGAGACTAGTGTATACTTAGTTCATTAAAACTTCCCTAACTTGAGGGCTGTGCTGCTACAGCATAAGAGGGGCAAAAGGAAATTTATCTGTACATTTTCGTCTTTGCCTATTTTTTTTTTTAACGTAATGAAATTAAAACTTTTGGAGCTCACAGTTGACATTTTGCAGAAAATTGAGTTATCAAGGCAGTAATTATTTCACGGGGAGATAAAACTCTCATAGCCCTAACTGTCAAATAGGGGCCTTTTCAGA